ATGCAGGTTATTACTAATTATCAGGAGCCATCCTCTACAAAAGATATTTCACCACTTATCAAGAGCCATTCTGATGAGGAGAAAGGTATTACTCCCAATCCCTTGCCTGAAATAGAACATATCTCAACCCAGACCCAAAGGGGCGAATCTTTAGATTCATCTGAATCTTCAACGGAGCCTGAAATATCTACAACCTCTTTACCACAAGATATTATCAATGACGATTCAGCTGAGATCCTAGATTTTGTAGAAACGATACATAAGGAAAGGATTGGTAGTGAGATAAGAGAGAGGAACCGGGAAAAAAAACTTCAAGAATCACATAATAACTTAACACCACCAATACAATCTGAAACATCAACTATGTTGACACCTGAATCTCTGGACTTGAAACCTGTGAAAGAGCTTTGGGATCAGAATCAAAATAAAAACCAGAACAAATCGCACAAGAAAAAGGGAACCAAGAATATCACTCAAGTGATAGCTGATGGTATTCAAGATGATAATCTTTTAGATTCAAATTATGTGACAGAAATTTCAGCGACAGCTCTTCACCAAAATTCTTCTGTCTTATTACTTGATTTAGCACAATTATTTGATAAGGCAACTGATGCCGAATATAGCGCCATAAAAGCTAACCAAGAAGAAACTTTATGCTGGACTAATTATGGAAAAGAATTTATAATTCAGTATAATGATCTTGTGAAAAATAGTAATGGAAAAATTGGCGAAAAAAAGGTTTAATCACAGGTTCAAATACTTCGTGTACAAAAGTGTCCTCTTTTAATTCTTGTCTATATACTTCTGGGTTAAAAGTATTAATACTATAATATAATAAAAAATAATTTATGTCAAAATAAGTAGTGATATAACATTTTTCTTTATTTTCTTTGCAAATACTTACATTGACTCGAATATTTCTAGAATTAGATCTTCTTGATCATCAACTAGTTCTTTTTGCCATTTTCTTAATAACGACTTGCATTTTTCAAAATCTTCACTTGCGGTCTATTTAATAAGCACGTTATTAATTGCAATAAATGATCACAATATTAAGATCATATTAAAAATCATACCTTTGCCATTTTATGACATCGTAGAATATCATCATCAGACATTTGATAGGGTGTAAATTCTTCTTTAATGTTATTGAAAATACTTTTTAATGATTCTGGTTCGATCATTAAAGAAATTCCACTTGATACATTTTGTTCAAACAAAAATATATGATTCAAGGAACTATAACAATCATGGGAAAACATTATTAAAAAGGACAAAATCGAATTCATATAAAAGATTTGGAAGTCTAAAACTTACAGTATTTCGGCAACCTCATCAATTTTATTATCAGATGCCTTTTGGATGGACATATCCCGATATTCTAACAATAAATTCGAAACGTCAAGCGTGCCGATAAACCACTGTGTAAAAAAAGAAAAGTAAATTAAGATCTCTCTTCTAAATAAACTTAAATAAAAGTTTAAATATTACCTTTTTCGCGTCTTCACTTAATTCAGACTTCTTAATGCCTGGTCCAGTGAACCAATCATAACTATGATTGGCCTTCCCTTTTTTCGATTCAATATAAGAATCATCATCTGCTTCGTCTGAACTGGGATGATAGGATTTATCTGAATTGCTTTCATCGGGCGTTCCAGAGTCATTCAAGTTACTCTCACCAGATATTCCAGATACAGTAAAAGGATTATTGGGAGAATCGTTTATTGCTTCCTATAACCAAAATTTGTAAAATTAAAACAAATAAATTCTCAATGGGTTCAAATCCACAGTACTAACCTTTGGCACGCGTTTTGGAGGGCTTTCTTCCGCACACTCTAAAAATCGTTTTGTAAGACGAGAAGTGGTAGCATTTACGTACGTTCCCATTTGTTTATTGACATTAGTGGTCAAAGTTAAATCATATTCGTTCTATTCATAATAAAGAATCGTTATTTATCAATTTATATTTTATATAAATTAATATATGTAGTTTTCAAACCTCTTCATTTTTTATTTTGCTATCAATTAGTTCTTCGTTGACTGTCATCCAGAATTTATTTACACTCTTGGAAGATCTTTCATTCTAGTTATCAGAAAACAAAAAAACATTAATATTCCTTTTCTAAACTATTTTCTTTTGGCAATAACATGTAAGAGCACCGAGGAACTCGTAATCATCAACCAGCCAACACGTAATCGGCCAGCTTACTCGGGATTGTCAATACGTCACGTTACTGTCTCAATGACCAAACGTATTCTAGCTCTTAGTTCAAGGACGCCGAAGGAACGCGTAATCCACTATTAGCCAGCCAACACGTAATCAGCCAGCTTACTCGGGGGTTGTCAATACGTCACGTTATTGTCTCAGTGATTGGAACGTATTCTAGTCCTTGAACACATGAAATTGCCCAATCTCGAATTGCTAAAGGAGTATAAACTTAACTTCAAAAGTATCTAGCCATTTTTTTGCCTTATTTGTATAATCAACACAGCCAATCAATGTTTCTAATGCTTTTTTGTAATCCGAGTGCTCTTTAGTTTTATCATATGAAAAATCTTCTTGTTTCCGCCTGTATTGTAAAAAGTCTATTAACGACCAATTTGATCTCGTTTTCTTGAAAAAATCAGTCATCTCTTCCATAGTAGTTAGAAAACTTCGTGTAGCCTACAACCCTTCTATAGTATATATGCACCCAAACATTCTGTGCCAGGTTATGTCGATCTGTGTAACATGATAAGCAGTGTAACGATTGTCAAATTATGTAATACGCTATACATAGTGTCACGGTTTGAAAACTCGTGACCTTGCTGGAGCTATTGATAAGTGGCTTAATCTATTTTATTACGGCTTGAAAAACAGAACTGTTTCAGGTCTAGATGGGCTGGGCGGGTGGCGTTAGGACAGAACTGCTGGACGTTTATTTTATTTTGTTTATTTTGTATATTTTTTTTTATTTAT